TGAAAACTGGTAAAAAAATGAATTCTGAATATTAGTGTAACATTTTGGACCAGTTGAAGGAAAAAAAAATATCGTGAAAAGGAACCGGTTTGTGGAAGAAAAAAATTCTTTTTCATCAGAAAAATGCACCACGTCACAAGAGCATTTTGACAATGGCTAAAATCCATGAGTTAAAGTTCGAATTGTTGGAGCATCCACCGCATTCACCATATTTAGCTCCCAGCGACTACCATTTGCGTGGCAAGCGTTTTTCATCAAATGAAAAGGTCATAACAGCTGTTGAAATATATTTTGCAGATATTCCGGATTCTCACTTGAGGGATGGGATCCACAGGTCGGAAGATCGTTGGAGTGAGTATCAATAGTCATGGAGATTATATTGTATAATAAAGTGTATTTTGAATCATAAAATTGTGTTTTCCTTATCAAACGACAAAACTTATTGAACAACTGGTAGACTACCGATATATGAAAAAACTGAATATTTTTTCCATACCTTACGCCAGGTGTATCTTTAAAATACAGCTAAAATAATGCAACCAGAATTGCTTACAATAAACCATACATAATGGTTATTTAGTTATTCTTCTTTATTTGCTAACAGTTATCCTTGCCTGCTCTCTTTTCTCTTACCTTCACCTTTCACCACTCTCCAGCTAAGAATATCGTCAATTTGTTTATCTCTAATTTACTCAATTTTGTCTGCGCTCCCTTCCTTTAAGCTTGTGACTTTTTACAAATACATGCAAACAAGCACATCGATTTTAATCAGCGAAAAGTACGCTTATACAGCAGGACCAATGAACTGTTGCTGTCTGTTTATCGACTTGACAGCATGTAAGCAATAATCTCCCCTCTTTCTAGATCAACTGATAAACGAATTTTTGGAAAAAATATATTTACATTTATATTATCTATTTACTGTGTTGCTCATTTGTTTTGCATCTCGTCGTTGCTGCTCACAGTTTGTTGACACTTCGCATTCCTACAAAGTGCACAGTGATAAGATAAGCTTCTAACGAGCGGATGCGAGCTACAAATGCACAAATGGATTTGCTTAACAGCGGAAAATGCATGAAGTCAAGGAAATACACTGTTGTGTTTTATAGCGAATTGTTGTCGCTTGTTACCTAACGAGAGCACGGCGTCCTTCCACTGTAGAAATAGTTGTTGGCTTTTGCCGGTGAATTGATTTCTCACAGCTGGGTGCAGTTTATTTACCGCTTGCAATATATGCTTCGAATGTGTGGCAGACAAATTACAGTTATATAATGCGCTTAATATAAGTCATGGCTCAACAGGATTCAATATATTTAACGGTAAATTTAGACAATAGAGCAGCGTGGCGATTACTGAAGCGATATAGTAGAGTGAAATTCATTGAGTTAAGGGGAATGCAGAGAAATTCAATAATAAATTTGAGTCTAAAGGTAAGAGAAGAGAGCAGCTTAAAAAAAAATGTAATACTCTGAGCTTTAAGCATTCACTTTTACATTTTTTGGTTTGACATTTCATAAGGCATAGACTTACTACAAAACAACGTTTCTCATTTGTGGAAATTGTTTACGAAAATATTGGTACGGTTCGCGCGATGCAGCTACGTCTAAAATTCGGTCGACATAAGCGCACAGCAGAGTCGTTGATTTGAGCATCCGTGGATCAGTTTCGCCCCACATTCAGTCTCGTGTTTATGCGCATCCTCAGAGACGCTGTTGCGTACGTATTGAAGACACTACTGTAGCTGTGGAGGAGAGTATCGAAGAAGAACCAAAGGTGTCCAACCGCCATCGCGCGCAATAACTGGACCTGTGCCCATCCACTTCACGGTGGGATCTTGTTTACAGCAGCTTAGATATCCAAATGAACATCAAGCCCATCATACATTCACTGAATGAGCAGCAAACCAGATAAGCAAAATAAAATTGTTTGATAAAATGGCGGTTTCTAAAAAAAAATCGATATTTGACAATTAAAAAAAAAAAAAATTATTTTAAATTCGACCAATGCGATGCCATTTCCGGTGAACACCCGGATCATGAAAAAAAGAAATACGTGTTTTAGTTAACCTTAACTTGGAACTTGTACGAAAGAAAAAAACTGAAAATTGGATTTTTCCCAAACATTTTTACAAAAATATGTCAGTTCGAAGATTTTAAGAATTGTATCTCAAATACCTGTGTAAAATTTCAGGAAAATCGGTTGAGTAGTTCTGGAGAAATCCTCGAAAATGACTTCAAAAACACAATTTCGAGAAAAAAACGCGTTTAAAGACGGCATACTTAGCCTAACTAGCCACGAACGCACAAGCTCTAAAGATTGTATCGCCGAAACTATTACTCGGATAAACTTGAATTAATTTAATGTAACCTTCAAGGTCCGGCACTCGAAGTGCTTACATTAAAAAAGCCATTAATTCGATTTGGAAAATAATTTTTATTTATTTTTTTGCTCGATACGACCACCTTTTGCTTTAACTCTGGCTTTGAGACGGTCAAAAAAGGAATCGCAAGCTGCCCGAATGCCGGCCATTGACTCACGGACAATGACTTCCTTCAGCATCTCGAGACTAGTGTGTTTTTTACTTCGGACCTTGCTCTTCAAAATGACCCAGAGAAAATAATTCATTGGATCTGGTGAATTCGAATTCGAGAGCCATTGTGTGGTCGTAATAAAGTTCGGAACGTTGTTTTTCAGCTATTCTTAGTTCACTCGCGGCTTGTGAGACGGTGTTGAGTGTTGTTGAAATGTCCAGGGTTTGCGACCGAAATGTTTGTTGCCCACGGCTTTAAAGCAGTCTCCAAAATACTTTCCCGATAATATGTCGCATTTATTTTGACGCCAGGCTTTATGAAAACAATTGGAGAGCGCCCATCTGCGCTGACAGCTTCCCAAAGCATTTTTGTGGCGGGTGTTGCCTCCTGTTGACTAACCGATGACTTAGATTCTCATATGAACGGTCAGTGAAGTAAACCCTATCGTTTTGAGAGTTTACGAGTTGCTCAATTGGAAAAATTTTTTCTTCAGAAAACACAATGTTCGGAATTTGACCGCTTTCGGCCAAGCGAAGCAACTGCTTCGCTCACTCAAGTCTTACTTGTTGCTGCTTCTGTGTGAGATCATGAGTCTTTTGGAACTTGACCTTAAGCTGATTTTTCAATATGCGTCGGATACTGTGGTCGGATATTTTCAGTTCTTTAGCCATTTGATTAGCACTTCGTCGGGGATTTCGCTCAAGTCGCTTCTKCACTTTCCGAACCATCTCACGTGACGTTGCAGTCTTTTGATGACCACCTCCACGGCGTTTTGCGATGCTACCAGTAACATTGCAACGAGTGATGGTGCGATAAACAAAATCTTTCTTCACATTAAGGTGTTTGAGCTCAAGAACAAATGCTGGCTGTGATTTTCCAGCTAAATATAAAACAATCACACTATTACGTCTGAATTCCATCGCTGATCACTTTTTCTTGCGTTCACTTGTGAACAATACTCCGAGCTGTCATTCAGTAAATTTATAAGCAGCTGATTCCAGTACAACAGCTGCACTTCGAGTGCCGGACCCTATATATTATAATCGAAAAAATAGAAGTCTAAACAAATACATAACAAAATATTGTTTGCATCCATTTTGGCTTAAAATGATAAAATGATTTCAAAATGATTGTCAAAATTATATCTGACAATTTAGGAGACTTTTTTAAATCGATTTTTGGAAAGGCATTATTTGATAAAAGCTCTTAAACAACAGATTTAAAAGAAATCAGTGTCAATTATCCGAAAAATAGAAAATAGAATAATTGAAACAGATAATAATACTAATTTGCATGAAGTAATAATATATTACCTACAAAAAACTGAAAAACGAGAACTATTAATAATTTGAGTAATTGCAAATACTATCTACATCTAAACAATGTTCTTATACGAAATAGATCTACCACCAAATCTGCAGCTCTCTGCGCGTGCTCTCTTAAATTACTGCACTCTCACATACTCATCTCATACCCACCTTTATAACTTAAACGCTCTTTCTCCACTATTAACTTGCCAACATTGCGCTCCGCTCTCTCTCACTCCACCGGCCTTTACTCTTAACGCAACAAAAGAAAAATTCTTTAACATAAAAACCACTTAAACGCATGTACCTAGAAATACTGCTTGTACGCTTGCGCGCTGCGCACACATAGCAATAAAATCAGCTATTATTTTTGTGGTCGCAGCACCAACAGCAATCAACAGAAAGTCAGGTTCAATGCCTGCCCTGGCGATCTAGGCATCAGCTACCGCATATACATCACCCTATAGGCGCGACGCTACGACAGTCATTAAATACGAGCGAGCTGCGTACACGTAAATATGTACATGCCAGTGATATGATCGCATATTTTGCTTATTGCAGAACTTCTCATTTATTATTAGACTATGCGTATGCAACACGGTGCTGGTAAAATTAATGCGCGATCGTTGCTGATCGGGCGTTTATGTGCGGAGAAAAATATATATTTGTGGGTAGTGAGGCATATTTATATATACACATATACATTACTAGCTAGTTAATGCCTTAATGCTGCTATTCTTCTTTTATCCACCTCTACAATACTTGCTTGCCACTTTACCAACTATCTGCTCGCAATCTTTGCTCTCTCCCATTGCTTCTTAAATAACTCATCACTGATACCCATCAACTCCGTGCTTTCTTTTGTTCTTATTTTCCAACGCTCTGTCCGCCGCTTTGCCCTCGACCAGCTTGTGCTTTATAACTTTCTTTCGCTACTTTGTTTTCTTTCTCCACTTTGCTTGCTCTCTTTACTTTATTTCCTCTATTTGCATAATTTTTCTTTTTCTCATTTTTCCTTTTGCTTCCAGCATTTATTTGCTATTTGCTTATTGCCACTGTCCGTTGCAGCGTTGTAAACTTGATCTTGTGGTAAAAGCAATTTCTTCAGCGGCGACTGTGATTTGCCTTGACTCGCTTGTGGGCCATCAGTTCTCTTGCGACTGCGTGCGCGTTAGCAACATAAAAGCGACTCGTCTTCTTCCATCGAATTGGCTAAACTCGCGTTCGAGTTAGTGTGTGTGTGCTTGCTACATAAAGTGTAGTGAAAGAGCAAGAAAAAGGAGTAAGAAGTGAATATACATATATGTACATATATACTAGTGCTAAACAAAAGACTTAAGCAACGAACGTGCTTAAAGCATAAAACTACTAATTTTGCCTTCAAATTTTTTAGAAATATAAAAAATTTTGAAATAAATAAATTTCCGAAACATTATAACCATTGAAGCTCTCCCATTCGCAAAATCTGTGCTCTTGCCACATTCTGCCTTGATTTACATACATATATAGACATATTTGTCTGTATATATGTAAGCCGTTTAAATTTGCGCTGACTTTGAACTCGCCACTCAAGTTCATTGTCGAACTTTTGCTGGGCGCATTGTGTGGCAGCTGAAGCCTGGAACTTCGTTCGTATTGAAATTTTGGCTGGAGCCATTTTGAGCGCTGTTTCAACTATATTTTGGTGCTGCTGCCTTAATAAAAATTCAATTTTTTTTTTAAATTCGTTAAAAATTATTGTTTGCCGTAAGAAGTTATTTGTGTACTTTCGGTTTGGTGCATCACTTCGACTTTTAGCTTCGTGTATTACGGCTTAAGATTGTACAGTGTAATTTATACTTGCAGCTTATTTGTATGTGATACCGCATATTGCGGTTTTGTCGTTGGAAAGGACGGCAAAAGTACCACAATTCTATGGTGAGTACTCATAATTTTAGTTATTTATTTTTGGAGTGCTAAAAATATTTTGCTGTAAATGCTTTTAATAAGAAATATTTATATTTTATCCTTTTTCTTTGTTTTTTCTCTCAAAATTTTTTTTAAAAATATTTTTCTTATATTGAGAGTTTTAAATAAATATTAAATATTTAGTACATTTTTTACATAACTTGAGAAAGTCGAACAAGGCAAAACATTCACTTTGGTAACTCTGATGCTAAAATTCCTTCATAGTTGCATTTTTTATAGCATAAAAGTGTATAAAAAGATCTTATTCTTGCTTTTGTGCGATCATATTGTATGGAAGCTATATGTTACAGTTGTTCGATCTGAACAACTTTTCTAGAGATTAAAGTGTTGTCTCGGAAAATAATTCATACAAAATTTCATGAAGATATCTAGCCAAAGAAAAAAGTTTTCCATACAAGAACTTAACAAAAATCGGTCAGTTTGTATGACAGCTATATGTTAGAGTTGTTCGATTTGAAAACTATATTCGCAGTTTATAGCATTGTCTAGCATAATAATTTGTGTGAAAATTTCGTGAAGATAACTTGACAAATAAAAAATTTAGCATAGCTGCAACGATTTCATATTTGAATCATATAAATTTTTAATGAAAATAAATAAGTAATACAAAAATCACTCCGATTTGTGTTGATAAGATTAAAATTATTTCTAAACCTTTAATTTATCTACGAACTTATTTCGTGACTTCATATCTTGCTGCAAGTATAATATACGGTTAACATCTATGTCCGGCAGGTGGCGCTGGTATTAAAAAAGCCTCTAAATGTGCTTAAACATATTAGGAATACTAATCATTGCCATGTGCTTAAATATATTAGAAGAATTCATAAAAATGTTTTACTAGCTACATTAGGCGTAAAACTAACACGAGTTTTTTTTTATGTCAAATTCATTGACACAAAACCGACAGTCGTGCAATTTTAATATGTGCTTCAAGAATTATTATTATTCAAAAGGCAACGAGCTATAATATCAACTCTGATGAAAATGCAGAACTTTTTACTATGATAGGCTATGAATATGCCACGAAAAATGAATTGACAAGAACTTCTCAAGTTTTGACCAAATTTGCCATTAAATTATTTTTGGCAAGCATTGTTAAAATATGGCTATATTTTTTACTGGCAAAAAGATAAAATAATTCATTGAGAATTTGCAAATATATGTAAATATATGTCGCTGTTTTCAAAAAAATTTCAAGATTTGACAGAATTGTAAAACTGCTACGATACATCATTTTAGTATCAAAGTACCCTATAATATCAACTCTGCTGAAAATGCAGAACTTTTTACATCGACAAACTGTGAAAATACCATAAAAAATGAAATGGCAGGCATTTCCAAAGTTTTGACAACGTTTGCCATTGAATTTGACAGCTCTTCGTATGGCAAATATTGTTTAAATTTGGTTTATTTTCTACTGCAATATAGATGAAATGAATCGTTGAGAATTTGTAAATAGATGTAATAATATGTCTCTCTTTTTAAAACGTTGAAAATTTTACAGAATTATGAGACCGCTTTGACAAATCATTTTACAACCACAGTACTCTATAATAATTGACAAATCATTTTACAATCACAGTATTATAGAGTACTGTGCTGAAAGTGCAGAACATTCTACATCCATAGGCTATTAAATAACACAAAAATTGAAATGGCAAGTATTTATCAAGTTTTGACAAGGCTTGCCATTGAATTTGATACCTCGTCATATGGCAAACATTGTTAAAATATGCCTATATTTTTTACTGGCAAAAAGATCAAATAAGTCGTGTAGTTTTTGGCTGATATATGTAACTATTTTAAAAACGTTTGACAGAATAATGACACTGCTTTGACAAATCACTTTACTTTGTAGTACTATCTTATTTAGTTGACTTGTGGAAGTGCTTATTTGTGGCAGTAGTGCTCTATACTGCGCGCTGACTAGAGGTAATCGTCAGATACCATTAACGATTGAATTGAATAAGGAAAAATGAAAAATTCTAGACAGTCATGGATACCTTTATTATCACAGGTCTGCCGTTCTTGGATATATACGAGTATAAGTTAAACTTTATATGATCTTCGGACCAACCAAAAATTGCTTCAAATTAATAGCAAACATTTCTTAAGTTAGATAGCAGAGTATACTTTCTTATGTGAGATGAATTTCTGACATATGCTGAAAGCCTTTGTGGCTAATATTCCATTTATATTGTTGTGAAAAATTCTAGCACTGATTTTTATTACTTTTTATTATCTCTCTATTCTCATCTGACTGCAAACCACGAATCGACTAATTTAAGGTTTTAAATACCCCAGAGTATCACACACACAATCTTAGAGGCAACTATAAGGAAGTCAGGCTCTCCGCGGCACGCCACATTACAATCGCAGTTATACTGCTTAATACCCCAGGCAATCTTCTCCTACCTTGCAACTGCTTGACTTGTGACTGCCATAAAATTTTTTCGCAGAACTTTAAAAGTTTTCAAGTGCAGTGTGTCATAAAACACAAATGACATAAAATGCAGTTGTGCCGCATGAAATATATACACAGGCGCCGAGTTGCAGAGGTGGCTGTGAGCTGAGCACTAATCTGGCAGTAAAGGAGGCGCTGCTGCACTGAAGAGGCAAATACCTAAAATATGACCTGCCAGAGAGTTAAGCTAAGACAATTTTCAGTCGAAAACTGCAACTCGACGCTGCGAATAACAGTTTTACGCTTCACCAGATTCGTGCGCGTTGCTGGAATGATTAGCCGGGTGGTGTCTCACACCCGCACCTAAGCGCTGTGCATATGCAAAGAGCGCCGCTAAAGACAAGCAACATAAACTTTTCGCTCGCGAGATTGTGCACATTTCATTATCCTGCCACGCACAGCAAAACATACGCGCAAACTGCACTTGCACTTGAGCTGTACTTGGCATTAACTTTAGTGCGAGCGACTCCCGGGCGGGATCAGTTTGCAGTAGGTAAGGCGGCTCTTATAAATGCCTGCGTGCTTCATTGTAATCTGCAGTTAAGTTTGTGTCTTTTATCAGCTGCCAGCGACTGCTGCTTGCACTCTGCCCCAGCTTGGTGCACTTAAATGCAATTTAGTAGTTTTTTATGTTCTGTGCGCTGCCTCTAATGGCGCGCTGCTTTCAAATTTAAGTCTTTGAGGCTGTTTGCAACTGATAAATATTGTAAAGTTTTATTGGATAGCCGTTATTTTATTACTAGCCTGCTGAGCAAAAGGCTAGTTACATCATTAGCTTTGATTGCTTGAGTCTCTAGCGCCAGTGAAAAGTAGGCCATTTTTCAATATTTCTAAAACATTTAAGTTGAATTTTGTTAACTTAAACTACTGTAAAGAACTTAGAAACATCGAGTACAGTGATTTTGAAAGTATCTAAGATTACTGTTGGCTATTATTGTCGCCTGACATACAGCCAATTCTGACTTAACCTAAAAGTAACCCATGCACATATCAAGATCGTCATTTAGAAAATGCTTTGGTTTCCGAATGTTGATTACGTTTTCGTATGTTAGTCGTACAACACTCTTGACAATCTCGTTCACTATTTCTTTGGCCTCCATGCTTTTGTGGTCCGGCACCCAGTAGAACTGAAGATGCTTACTTCTGACAACACTTTGCACTGCTGCCCTGCTTCAGGCCGGTATACGATATGAGGTTACTGTTTTGATTTCTGCTTGACTGTCTACGTAGATGTTGGCTCTGGAATTGATTGCAGGTGTATTAGAGGTCAGCTCCGAGGCCTCCACAATAGCAAAGACCTCAGCCTGAAATATACTGCAGTGGTCCTTAAAAGGTTGCCTTATGGCTTACTCTAGACAGTATATTCCCAAACCGACTCTATCGTCCATTTTCGAACCATCAGTGTAGATATTTATAGTGTTACGCGTAGCTAACATACCTTTCCTCCAGCCATTTTTTTCTATGTTTACTTCGAACCTTCTTTACCAATTGAAAATTGGTATCAAATAGTCTGTGTTTTCTCAACCGCCATTACCCACCGAACTATGTCCGAAGGTTATATCGGGTGATTTTTTAAGAGCTTGATAACTTTTTTAAAAAAAAAAACGCATAAAATTTGCAAAATCTCATCGGTTCTTTATTTGAAACGTTAGATTGGTTCATGACATTTACTTTTTGAAGATAATTTCATTTAAATGTTGACCGCGGCTGCGTCTTAGGTGGTCCATTC